AAATTTTATTTGAGTAATAAAAAAGATTAACTTAGTACAGAAGTCTTGTCAGATCGTTTTTTTAAATCAAAAAAAAAAAAATTATTTTGGTACGTGTCCGTAAGATGAAATATCACGTGACCGGTACGTGTCCGTAGACTTTCCGGTAGTTTTCCGCTATTAAATTATGCCAATAATCACGTGGGAGTGAATTTTTGATGGGGTAGTTTATGATGCACCAAAAAAACTTATAAGTTTGTTAAGGATAATAGAGTTAGGCGTTAACACGTATATACGTACGTACGTACATAGCAAAGTTGCTCAAGGAAATCTTTTTCTGAAAAAATGAGGCACTCACTATTGGGTAAGCTACTATCGATCACATGATAGTAAAATTTTGACGGCGATGCCAAGGGAGTAGCCCAAAAATCTTTCGATACTATATGCATACGATTAAAACAGTAAAATCCTAAATGTGAACAAAAACTTATACATGTTAGGAAGACCAACATTTCTGCTATTCTTCTAAATCATGTCACTTTGGCCCTTCAGAATTTGAAAACATGAAGTTTATAAATAATAATGATAATGGAAATTTGGTTACCTATGGTGTATTTCGATTACATAATCTTGAATATATAATCTTGAATATATTAAGAACAATAAAGGTGTAATTTTTAAAAGGAAATGTTTGCAAAGGTGTGGTTATATGTGTATTGATTGATTTTTAAGCATTTAATAGTATTCATGCATCAATCAGTGACCATATCTTAGTTGCACGAGCTTTCGTTTCTAACCCGAGAAATAAATCTTGCGTTAATCATATTAACGGCATCAAACTTGATAATCGGACTGTTAATTTGGAATGAGTAGTTCTCAGAGAGGAAAACCCAATTGATCATATCACCTGATTTCAAGTTATATATTAGTGATCCGGAAGTTGCATCTGGTTCGGAACTCTATACGTATGTATGTACGTACGTACGTACATGTAGGGTTGGATCGGTCCTGAGAAGACCGATTAAGGACCGGTCTTTTTGATCGGTTACATGGTCTTCGGTTCTCAGTCTTTTAACCAGTTCAGACCGGTTAATAATAAACTATTAAAATAAACTTTTAAATAGTTTAAAAAACTAAATAAACTTATAAATTGTTAAAAAACCATTATTCATAAATTTTACTTGATGAAGATAACTAAAATTGATAATCACTCACATAAAAAATAGCTTATTCTTGAGACCAGGGACCGGACCGAACTGGACCATAAATACTATTGAACCGGTCTTATTAGAGACCGGGACGGACTGGGACGGACCGATCCAACCCTACGTACATGCATTAGGCTTAAGGTCATGTAAATAAGTTATTGGTGCGTAGCATTCAATGACCATCAGAATGACTCGAGTTTTTTGGTGGTGTCAAATGGAGAATAGACTAGGAAAACCACAAGCACTTACTTTCAAACTGTGATGTTCCAAATACATTCTCCAAATAAGTTGTTCTGACGGTCCGATCATGGTAAGCTATCAGATGATTGACGTAGTATTTAAATAAAACAAAGCTTTAGTGCACGATCATAAAAAATATATATTTATCATGCAACTACCTAAACTTATCGTCACGACCCAACCATTTTTATCGGTTAGGTAGAGATTCTACGTACAATTGTATGTGATTGATCGTGTTATACTCTAAGTATAGACTATGTGATTCATGCGTGAAAAAACAATTAAAAGAATCAATCATTAGATGATATCAATTGCATTAATTAAAGTGGTTTAATCATAGATCTAAGATAACAACCTTGATCGTCCAAAAGACATCAGCATTCATGCGTCATTATGTTTGCGATGCTTTGAACACCTTTGAAATTATTAATGTAAAATACCGTATAAAAGCACAGATTAATTTGTTCCCTATTTTCAAAATATCTCAGTTAACTCGAGTACCACGTAATATATATATTTTTTTTTTAACAAAAGAAATATTCCCTAATTATAAAACAATGCGTGAGAAAAAATTCATATTTACTTTATTTGTTCACACGTTCCTAATCTACACCATTACCGCCCAATTTCCCGGACCCATTACACCAGGCACGGGCGCACCACCAGGTGTTGGCGGAATTTCACCAATGGGAATACAAGGTAGTGGAAGAGAACGACCACAAAGGCATCCATTTGAGGATAAGAGGTTAGGAAACCCGCCACAAACAGCTCCTCAATCACAACGTCTAGATCCTCAACCAAATTCACCAATAAGTCAGCAACAACAACCCAACCCGCAAGCAGATCAACAACCCAACTCACCAGTAAATCGCCAACAACTTAATCTGCCAAAAGCATCGCCAGTTCCGAATGTTAGCCCGAATGGAGTCGCTGATCAGAACGCGCATAAAACACATGAGACAGAAAATGCAAAACAGACGTCCAGTCCTTCTACAAACTCTGCCAAACATTCTAATTCGCCACAAGGTGATAGCGACCCGCGTCATAACGAAACTACCGCATCGAATGGAGGCTTTAAGAATGTAGGTTGTGACAGGTTAACGACGGGAATTGTAACAATAATAATGATGTGTTTATGGATTTATGGAGTGGGAATAGATTAAATAATTATAATAACTATAATGAAAAGGATTTTTATTATCGTTTCGCGGGTTTTTCTTTCTTTTTTAAAAATAGTATGATTATTTTTCTTTGTGAACTATGTGAATTATATGTATGATGTCACGTGTACAATGAATAAAAAAAAACCCCCACCAAATTGCTAGCACAATGCGTTTTTTTTTTATTATTGTTATTGATGGCATATTGACACATCCCACAGCATATTGTACAAAAAAATATGTATATATATTTACTGTATACTCTGCAATACACATTCACAAGTTATATCGTATTATAAAGTAACTAAATTGTTTCTGATTAATTTTATGCAATAAGTTTTGTAAATGCAGTCTTTTTTTTTTTTTTTTTTTTTTGCACGTTATATAACCTTGTATAAAGATGACACGCCTGACCTTTCTTTACCGTCATGCAATATTAACAAAACCACTAGTCTCGGAAAATGTCACGTTACTATTTGGTACGTACTTACGTCATTGCAGCTAATTGTGCACAAAAATAGCAAGTAACTGTTTTTCTTCTCTAATCGGAATGTCACGAAACATATAAACCAATAAAAACAATCCGTACGACGGTACACAACGATTAAGTTTGTTTTCATATGCTCAGGTAAGTAGAAACGTGATTTTGATCAAGAATCCGGGCCAAGGAGTATTTTTAATCTTTTTTCTTTTTTTACAAGTTTTATGCAGCATATGTTCACAAAATGCTATTGTAACAAACATCTTTGGAAGTATATACTTCATCGCCACATTTATAATATAAAAGAATATTACTAAACCTCAAAAAAATAAGTGTAAACGGAACGCAATTTCCGCGTCAGCTAAGCGATCTCTACGCTAAAATAAAGTGTTTAGGATTACAAGAGTTTCTTCAGAACCATTACATTAAAATAGGTTTAGGACATCTACTGAGAACAATGTAAGTTATTCCTTATACTGAATCGCCATGTCATCATTTGATGATTGAACTCTCCATGTTTGGAAAAAAGAAAAAGCATAATATATGCATATATACATGTGTGTTTTAACCAATAAAGCCGAAATAAATCCGAAACAATTAATCATACAGGTATAAAAAGGGCGCCCGTTTGCTTGCGAAATTAAGCTATAAACCTTATCCAATTAAGATAAATCCAAAACATTTTTTATGAAAATTTAATGAAACCCGCGAATAAGGGAAAATCGGTGTCTCGAAAGTCCAGGAGGCAAAAAAAGCCTCCAAATCGCTTTATACTTTACCGTACTTATCATCTTAAACATAGTCAATGTCTCAGCAATTCCAAAACGCCAATGGACATGAGGACTGTGTCGAAAGTAATATCAGCCCAATGGGCGAACGAGCCCCCTGATGTAAAAAGGTACTGGGATAAAGTTGCCGAAAACGAAAAATTAAAAGAATCACGCAGTGGTGAATATAACAGCAGAATAGATATATCAATATCTACGTCTGCTGGCAACCAATTAACGTTTATTAACTCTACAATTAATAATACAACAAACTTTACACGCTCCCTTGAACCTACGATACCCAGTAACTCCAATTTATCAGACCCTTTCTTACCCTTAACGGGTCCATTATCTGACGAAATCAAATTACCTGGAGAAAATTCCATGTCTCCAGATTCTTCCATGGAAGTACTCCCTTCATCTTACTTCCCTTTGCAGCCTTTGTTCGTCCATGAATGATTTTTGTACTACAAATCGCATATTTCATATATATTTTTTTAACGATTGTATCTGTATTCCATGCGGTCAAACTACTGATATTAATTTTTTTCTCATGTCTCGTTTTTTTCGTATCAACATACTTTTTTTCGAATCAAAATACTTTTTTTCTCACATCGTCAAAATACTTATTTTCGTCAAATACTTTTTTTCGTTAAAATATATTTTTTTTCGTCAAAATATGTTTTTTTTTTTTTTTTTTTTGCAAACACCATAAATCTCGAATCTGAATATAACCCGAATAACAAATCTTATAAGCTCTTTTTTTAAATACCTATGGATTCATGACGAATTTTTACTTAAATTGTTGTCAGATATTGTATTGTTACCTGCCTATTACTTTAGCACACGATGTTTCTGTTAACATTAACGTTAATAAAATTAAGTTTAATATGATTTATTACAAAGTTTTGAAGAGATTTATTATTTATTAATTATTAGTTTTCATACATATTTGCTACGTATAAATTCATCAATTGACCGACTCATTTTTCAAATTTCCTTATTTAGAAGATTATCTAACGCTAAGGCGAAGTAATTTAAAATTGGGTTAGAATTGAGTATCGCTAAAAGAAAACCCGACAATTTATATATAAGTCCTATTTAAATTGTCGGGTTTTCTTTTAGCGACACTCAATTATGTATTTTGAGGTTAAGATCAGTATTGTACGTCGTTTTTGAAACACGATACCTTTTTGCCATGTTCAATATGTCTAAGAATATCTAAGCATGTTATAAAGCTAAAAAAATCCATAATTACAATATGTATAAAATTAGATGTTAACCAGTTTTACTCGATGAATCAAATTATTTAAGTTGTTATACGTACGTAATAAAAGTTTGAGTTATTGTTATTTCTTTTTTGGTCTTAACTAGGGATGGATCAGTCCTGAAAAGACCGAATAAGGACCGGTCTTTTTAACCAGTCTTATGGTTAACTGGTCCTCGGTCCTGAGACCAGTCTGGACCGGTCCTCATGAATAATTCAAATAACTAATTAAAAGATATGTTACATAATCTTTTATTTTCAATTACCGATGTCATATGAATTGATTTTCTCCGCTAGCAAATAAGATTAAATAATTAAGGACTGTTATTGGGACCGAGGACTGAACTGAAAACATTAATAAACCGGTCTTTTTAGGACCGGACGGATTGGACCGGACTTGTCCATCCCTAATCTTAACATGTCCAGACTCTTGTTCAAATGTGTTTTGACAACACTAGTTAATATTGGTGCAATCATCATGGTAAAATTATTCTTCAAAGTAAGTTATAACCCTTTTTTATATATTTCATTTTTTTTCTTGCGTAGTCATGATTTTTCGCCTACATGTTTGTGTAACATGTCGATCTTTTGAACGGTGAATTGTTTCCGAAATCCAACGCGCCAAACTACCTTTAAAGAAATGATCACTGAAAAAATATGTTCCCCGAAATATTTGAATGATATATTTTGTTAATGTTACTGGGATTTTAGCAAATTACAAGATTTAAATTAGTGAAATTGATTTTTATATATAGTCATACCTCTCTAAATGTAATCTCCCCAAATGCACGCTCTATGAAAAGCCTCCCTAAATGCATGTTTTACTCCATTTTTACATATGGTTTCGCCATAATGCATTTAAAGAAATCCGACTGTATTAATTTTAATAATATTCAATTATTTCAAATTAAAATATAGTAGATTTAAATAATTTAGAATTTATATATATTTACTTTTTTAAAAGTTGCTAAATTAAACTATTTAATAATATTTATAATATATACAGGTTATATAAGGCTATACAAACTTAATAAATTGGTTCTCATAACTGGCCAGGTCAAATTTTATAAAACTTTTAAAAAATTTTTAAGTGTATTTACTATCTGGGTAAGTTTTTCTTTTGTTTCTTCAGCAAATTCTGTTGACTTTATTTAGAAAAACTAAACTACTACATAGATGATTGTAATATACTTGCTTGGCTTAATCAAATTGTAAATATTTCAATAATTAAATGGGTTATCATTAATTAAGTTAAGCAAATATATTATTTAATTTAATATATATAAAGAGTGGTTAAAAATGTAGTTAAACAAGAAAAATAAAATAAAAGCCTAAACTAAAACAAAAATATTATAAAATAACTAAACAATAAATCAAAAATAATAAAATTTACTTAATATAAATCAAAAATATCAAAAAAAATACAATAATTTTATAATTAAACACTTTATCACAAGAATATAACAAAAACTAAAGTAAAATATATTCAAAATTGATAAAAGTAATTAATATTTCTTTACTTTAAAAAAAGCAAAGTTTAAATATTTTTTAATAATATTATAATTTAGATAAAAAATTATATTTATAACACTATATTATATAATACTTTTATACAATATCTCAAAAACATACTAGTTAATACACCTCAGAAGTACTAAATAAAATGTTCAAAACCTCAAAAAACCTTATAAAACTAAAATTAGAACCTATTAAGACCTTATATCTAATATATAATATATAATAAAAAATTCCTATTTATTTTAAAATAATTTTAATACTAAATAAAACATATAGGTATTATATTAATTTTTTTTTTTTTTTTTTAATGTTAAGGTGACTACTTTGGGGTCTGGCACGTTTTATTAAACTTTGGATCGAATGCCAGGGCAGCCACAGGGCTACCC